CACGGCCCATGACGCCGACTGCTGCGATGTGTTGCTAAATCTCTTCTATTTTGAGCGGATTCAGAGGCGCCTTTGGCGTCTAGAACGAATTAGAATCTTTGCACGACTTGGCGTCGACACGGTAACATCGGCAGATGATTTCTCGAATTCTCCACGGCATTATGTTGTGAACTTCGCACCGAGGTCGCTAAGGGTGGTTGATGCTTCCCTTCGTTCAACCATCGATTAAACGTCATGTACCATTCTCGACATTCTCGATCCTCATATCGTTCAGGCGTGTTGATGCCCGCCCGACATCACCGACTGTTGCAACTGTATTACTAGTGCACTGCTACAAGGAGAGTGGAGTTGCGGAGATGATGATAATGGGCCAAGATCGCGCCCGAGCTGCCAGGTTAAATAGGTCTATTTAATCTATTATTTAAATTTCTTGAAAGATAATTCAACCAGAGCCATCAAGGCAGCATTTAATGTGACATGAAATAATGAATAACCGGGTGTCCGTGGTGAGAGGCATTATTAGACTAGGAATAATGAAAAGAGATTGCCGGCCGACATAAGTTACAGCGCGAGTGGCGTGCGCGTGTACTTGACGAAGCAGGAGCCGTGCGGGGGCCGGCACAGGAGGATGTCATTCCAGTTCGGTTTCGGGGGCGCCACAAGCGCGTCGCCGCTCTTGTTCACCAGAACATGGTCAAATCCAAGGAGGAACAGTGCCGTGGTGAGCTTGAGCTCGACCTTGGCGAGGCGTGTCCCGAGACAGTCGTCCTGCCTGTGATCAATGAGCACTCACGTCAGTCTCGGCAACATGAGGCGGAAGAGCCATGATAATGATAATGGAACACGAGCCACTGACCTACGCCCCACCCTACATACGGCAAATCAACGTGGATATTTCTTTCCTAGAAGGGTCGAAGCGCCACGGCTCAGGGTAGATTTCGGGGTCGAGATGGACGTCGCTAAAAGGATACACGACGTAGGCTCCAGAGGGGATCAACTTGTCGTTTATGTACACATCGGGCCCGAGATTGCGTCGCATGGCTGTGTGCGGCTGGGCGACGCGGAGAGTCTCCCGTATGATCGCATCGAGGACGGGAGTATGGGATTCCCAAATTTCAAGAGGGATCCCTGCGAGGCGGGAGGAGAGCCCCGACGCGGTTGAATCTGAATACGTCGCCAATAAAGATTCAACCTCTGTTTTCGCTTTCTGGCGCCATTCAGCATGCCCTCCGAGAAATGTGATGATCCAGGACGCTATTAGACGAAATAATTAGTCTAGTTGGAAAGCAAATAAATAAATATGGAGTACCGGTTGTCCCTGTCGCCCTCGCTCCGGCGATTAGTATCCCATAATAAACTGGGAGCCGAACACGTTAATACTGCATGGTTGCAAAAGGGATGGAAATTTCATACCCCGACAATGACGAGTTTCTCGTCTTCGGAATCTATCAACATTTGGAGGGTGTCGTTACGAGAGATCCCACTTTGTTCGCGGGCGATGATCGCTCGAACCACGATGTCGTAAATTTCCTTCGTCGCCCATAGTTTTCTGATCATTGCCGGAGTGGGGAACCAAGGAATCAGGACAGTCGCCGGAGTAGTGCCGGTGTCAAGCCGATCGTATAATGTTTTCAGGCGCGCTACAAGTGCGGCATCGTCTGAGATTTCAGTAGAGGAGAGACTTCGGACGGTCGTTTGAAAGATCAGCTGTGTCATGGGGAAAAATAAGAGTTGTTAAGCAGAGAACAAGGCAAAAGCTCGACCTCGTAGATTTTTTCGAATGGATCGAAAGTACCCGAGGTTCCATAGCTTTCCAAGATACGCCGAGAATCCTCCAAGATCGCAGGGATTACTATGAGAAGGTTAGTTGAAAATTATCGTTGAAAAGAAATATGCTTACGGTTACTGAGCGGCGATTTTTTTGAACTGCCGCGAGGCGCTTATGAATTACGGAAATCCGTTTAGTTTGGAGGCCGGACGTTACTCCGCGAACCATGGGGATCTAAGATCAGAAAAAATCAATCAACCGCGAAAAGGGACTTTTGCGCGAACGTACGGCGCCAGATAAAATTTTGAAGCCTTCAGTCAGGTCGAAGCCTTTCGTGTAGAAAAATGACTTTCGAGCTGACGCTCCGGAAAGAACGATGACGGTGTTCTGACATCGAGCTAGGTGAGTTGGGGACCTAAAAGAGAAATTAAAGTTGAACATACGTTCATTAACTGGAACTGAAATGTCGATTGCCCAGTAATTTGGAAGCCCCAGTTCAGAAAATCGTATCGTTGGCGGAAAAAGGGGACGATCGAGAGAAATGGAAGGCCCGGTAGAGACTTGGGTACTTCAACTCCATCCTCTTGCAGAGAGGCAGTAATGAGGACGATGACGAGACAGATTACGACAGCAACAGTGAACTGGGTAGCAAAACCCGCGGAAAGGAACGCGGACGCAGCAGTGTGGAGCCCGATAATGTAGGGCATGGAAGGGATTTAATTGGTTTGGGTTAGCTGGTTAGAGGTTGGAGGTTCGCGGTTCAGGTTTTTAATGAGAGCAGACACAAGCTCATTTTATAGTACTCGGGCCGGGCCTCAGGCAGATCTGCAAATGCTAAATCTAACGCCGAAGTAACGAATTCGTGAAGATCTGCGCTAGATCTTCCGAAGCATTTGTTTCCACTTCACCGCATTTTTGGTACCGGAACCGACTACCACGTGCAGACGGGTCAATGACGCCACATCCTTGCATATCGATCTTACATATGAAGAGTCCCAGAAGTACCGCACAACCTTCATACCTTGAAAAACGGTTAAAGAAAGAAAAATAAATCAAACGCTCACAGTTAAGGAACAGCTCTGGGCCTGGATACGGGAATGTGACACGAAGATGTCATCAAGAAACACAATAGATAATTAAGTGGTTTTTCCGTGCAGGTAGTCAGCTGCGGTGATAGCCCGTCCACTGTCCGATGGGAGCCGCCTGATCATAAATAGAAGGTTGCTACGACGGAGGCTTCATACATCCTGTCAGGACCTAAACACGTACCTTTTTAATTATGGGAGGCCGAACTTCTGCATTATCCGAGAATAGAGCTATAATTGACCGAAAAAATGAAACCCGGCGCCTAGACTCATTAGTGGCGAAACAACTCGCGCTAGTGCCTGGAAAACCATGATAGAGGAGGCGGCGAGGTCGAAACCAGTCATATTGGTACGTAGCGTACATGTGAGGTGACATGACGCGCTATAGACTCTAAGAGACAGCATTATGAACAACGGGCAAGGGACGGCTGGCAAAGGATTTATCAGAAGACTGTAAGGCGATATGGATAAAGGACGAACAGGGGCAACCAAAAATGGGAGAATTAGCCACTTAGACCCGCACAGATATTTGGCTGAGAGTAAGAATAGTTGAGTGCGGTCAGAACGCCGGCATAGTGTGCGCCGGCGGCCGCAACAACGCAACAATGGAATATTTGGTGAGATGCAAAGAAGTAATCGAATTTTCCGGGAGCTAAACATTCGGGGATTCGGTTTGCACTGAAAATGGAGTTCAGATTCACGAGGGAAATGGGAATGAAACATACTAAAGTAACGCTCCGGAGATATAGAGAGCGCCAGATAGAAGGATCCAGCCAAAGCCTAGGTCAGAAAGCACCTTGCTGTAGCCGTCGGCCAGCACGCAATGCGTAACAGGGACAATTGCTGATAGGCCAAGTCCAATAAACACAAGAGTCCGGGCGCCGCGATGGGTTGGTTTGGCGTACTCCGGATTCAGAACAATATATGCAGCGCCTGTATCTTCTGGGTTACCAGATTCACCAAGGATTTGTGATTTGACATACCGAGGCCAACGCACGAGATCGACACGATGTAGAAAATCTGCAATCGGGGCTGGCAAAAGAATCCAAAACGGAGAGACGGATAAAATGATCCTATTAAGGTAGAGTAAGTGCATTTCGACATAAAGAACAACCGAATGAACAACCGACTGTGAGGACAACTATGCCCGAGTAGTCGAGAGCGTGGCAACGAGTGCTAACCTGGGCACGGGATTAACAGATGGTTCATAGCACTGATAGGAAAGTGTTACCTCTTCAGAATGACATGTAGCAGTGTGAAACAATGCACTCGCAGAAAGACAAAAAATGGCCGAGGACAAGAAGACAGCGAAAACAGCAGAATCAACCCATGTTGTAGCCTCGTATTGTTTGAGATAAGTATCGCCATAGGTGGTCAGGAAATATGCAAATAGCGCAGCTCCCCATAAATGGCTATGGATATTGACTGGAAAAGTAGTGAGACGCCGCGTTTTGAAGCGATCGAGGAAGAGCCATTCACCGCTCTCGTTGTGCACGTCTAACGAGCTTTGAGATCGACTAATAAAAAGTGTGGCATGCTTACACGCAAAGACGGAAGTGAGACACCCTTTCCAATGATTTTGCGCGCTAGCCATCGAAGGAATGTTATGTTAATTACGAGGCCTGGCCCTTCAAGTGCCGCTGCGCATCTTACTGTCTATAACCAGAGACGATGAACTCGTTGTCCTTTCGCCATTCGGGGAGCTCGAAGTAGCTAACTGTTTTCGAAACTGGAGGGATAGGAATCGTAGCTGGAGCTTCCACAGAAATCTGTGTTCTCTTTCGAATGGATGATGACATGGTGGTCGGTTGTTGAGTTGTATATAGGGCCGGTTTGATTGACATTGGATTGACATGTGTTTTTTGGATGAGCCTTTTGAATGGACTATGATGGACTATGATGTTTTAAACCCTGGACCTTCTTCTCAACACGTGTGAGCGATCTGTACAAAGGTCCAACGTTGTCCAACGTCCAATAGGCCCTCGGCTATCAATTGTGCAATGGGATTGGAGAATATTTTGGGGCGTTCTGACTTTCTTCCCAACCCAACCCCAACGTTCCTGCTCAAAAAAACGTCGATCTGTGATGCCAAGTTTGATTCATGGGACATTCAGGTCTTGATGCACAGTCCCACTGCCGTCACGGACTCCCTCTTAGTTCAGGGGTAGAACGTCACACTCGTATCTTGTAAATGCATGTGAAGGTCAGTCGTTCAAATCGGCTAGCGGGAATTTTTTTCCTTTTTTTGCGCGGTCAGTGTAAAGCTGTTCGATGGTATCGAAAATGACTGGATGCGAATTGTGTTTATGGAAGGTATAGGATCACCTAAAGAGATGGCATTTGTTTCTTTCGTTCTGCCATCGGTTCCATTAAGAAACAGCAGGGTCCGTAATTCGCGTTAAATGTATGCTACGGACTATCGGAATTCGGGTGTTTCTACCGGAGAAGCCTCGTACAACTACCTCGTTGAGAGGAGGCCATCGGAAGAAACGGGAATAGGTACCACTGCCTTGAAAATAACGCCTGGTATTGACCTTGCAGCGAAGGCGATGCAAAACACCGAGAATTTAACATGAAGTAGGGGACCTCGGGGACCGTTAGCACGAATTAAGGCGTCGCGGGAAAGGGAACAGGGAACACATGGAGAACTAGTCAATAGGCTTCCGGTAAACGGAGAACGAAATATGAAGTAGCCGATGCACAAGACCAGTGGCAGGCGGCGCCGCGGGCCACGCGGTGCGTACATTTCCGCTACCGCATGAAAATTCAATAGCAATTGGCACAAAGTTTGGCAGGGCGTGAGGTGCACGAGGCTCGAGAGATTGTACGATTATCGAGCGATCAAAGCGCTCTCCGAGAGCAGCTCTTCGCCGTCCTTGTGTCAAGGCGCGCCTTCGATTCTAGGAATTAATCAAGAAAGAGTCGGCGGCACCGGGATACATGGCGATACGAGTAATGCTGCACGCGGCTCAGCGGAGGTTTGTACTCTGATTACAACAGTGACGGGGGAGAGGGTGTCCATCCGCGGGTCATTTCGCCGGCTCCGCGAGGATAGGGTGCACACACGAATAGCCAAGCAGATCAAAGAAATTAATGAAAGCCAAGAGCTGTTTTAGCTAGATGAACGCCACACTAGATAGTGCCCAAAGCACAGAGAATCAGAAAGTACGGAAAATAATTGCGGAGCGGTCGCTGCGGGTTGTAATTCCGGCTCCGCTAGACGTTTGAAAGCCACAGAAGTCAGGTCAGTAACGGAAAGTTCCAAGAGTTAAAAACAGGCTCGAATGGAAGCTGCACCTGAAGGCAAAGGTAGATGAGAGAGATAAGCTATTGCGGTAAATTATTCTCTGAGTCGCATTCTTGGAATCAATTGAAAAATCCACTGCAGAGTTTACTTAATAAAGCGCCCTGGCAGCACAGAAGTTTGCGAGGTCATAAACAGGGCTGAAAGTTGGGCGGCGTTCTTGAGCGAGTCAGAGAAAACACGGTCATGTGTCATAGAAGGGACGGTGTGGTATGGGGAGACGGGGAAACCAGTTTGAAGGGTCAAATTTCGAGGTAGAGTCTACCATAAGACCCGCGGAGTCTCAGGTTTGTAGTACGAGAGCATCGGTCGTTGTGGAGCCCCCATTTTTCTTCTTTTCAAAAATAATTTATGAAGATCGAGAGCAGGAGAAGCCGAAAGGGTCGCAAACGTAGACGAGACAGGGTCATCGGGCAAGTCGGAGCAAATCGGGCAGTGTCACATAGCGTTACATATGTCACAGTCCATATAAAAGGAGCATGACTCCCACCTCCTTTTCTTTCACGCACAGCAGACTCAAGGCCGCGAAGCTCGTTCCGTACAGGACTTTACCGTCTACATTCACGAGCGGGCCAAGGTCTGAGTATTCTAGTCCTCCTAGATTGGCTCCAGAGGGGCCCGGCTTTAATAGTCGAGCGGCGTATCAGAAAACCATCTGTTCTTTATCATCTCAAAGATCTTCTTTCGAAGGGAGAGCTTGAACAACGGATTTGGAATTCGTCGCGGGGATTGGGCGGTGTTTTTGCCTTGCTCTTCCATGTTTCTCTATCGGCGCCCAAGGTGTTCTCTTCGGAGAATGCTGGGAGGGTTCCCGGGCACACAGCGTGTTCGGCCTCTCCTCATCGTTTCACGATCTTGGGCAACGGCCGCACAGAAGTGCCTCACCTCAATGCGCCTGAAATGGCAGCAACCTGTCTACGAACCAACCTGGACTCAATTCGCCCACCTCGACGCCTCAGACACGGCATGTACACGACACTGGGCACGCTCTGCTGAACCCTCCACGAGGTCACACGTCCCTTCGCAGTCTGTACCTTGGTCAGGGATTTCCCAGGAACTGGTCAAAAGCAAATCGCAACGGGACAGGTCTTAGAGGTGCTTTGTGCGGTCGTTCGGCGCACGAGGGGAACCATGGAGTATCGGGGCACGGCGAAATCGCCGTTCTTTAGTGCACTTCGCGGCACACGACTATCGACCCGTCTCGCGAACGGCGAGATGCTGTGTAACTCGATTCAGACTACTCTTTGTCTGCTGTGTGCGACCAATTTTTTCCTTCCTTCTCTCTTCGGAGAGTTCAAGTTTTCTCGGCGCATTTTGGATTCAGTGTACGTCCCATTGCCGTTCATCTGCTCAGCACTAGCCAAAAACTTTTATAGAAGCCCTCAAGAAAACCAGTGGAGCCAGGTTGTGTGTAGTTAAATTGTAGACAAGTGTATTCGAGCCTATTTGCCATCAACCTCCCTTTCTTGAATCAAGCGATTGGATTGGGACCTGTCGAGTGATTTTTTTTTCAGTCTGTGAGCTCACTGCCGAATCAAGCCGATCACTGATTTACGATCAATATTTCGGCCCGACCTCCGCCTTTCGTCTCCCATCATGGCCAGTAAACTCAGCGTCGATGGGATTCTGCTATTTGAGCAACCCTTTGCTCGGGTACGTTAACAAGCTTCGTGAGATGACCACCCTTCAACTTGCCATCTAGGTGCCCTACGAAAATTATCGCAAAGTATTCCGCACGACGCAGAGGCACGTCGAGCGTGACCTCAAAGCCGTTCAGTCGACAGCAAACGACCTCGTGAAGGAGTCCTCTTCTGCTGGTGTCAGTTCTGAAGCGGCAATCCAATCCATTGACTCTATGATCAGCACCGTGGAGAATCTCAAGCGCAAGGTGGTGGCCCCCGCTCCTTCCGCTTCATGTGCTAATTCGCTATATATCTAGCTCTCCGAACTCCACGACAACGCTGGTAAACCTACCCAAGATGTAATTCGCGAGCGGCTGCAACACTTGGCTGCTGTCGAGAACATCCCGATGGCGAATGACCCCGAGTTTGGGCGGTGGGCGGACACGAGGCTGGATCGGTGGCTGGTCGACTGGGCACTGAGGAATGGGAAGGATAAGACGGCCAAGATGATTGCGAAGGAGAAACATATCGAGGGCGTGCTAAAATTCTCCACTATCGCAAAGTTTGCTTATCAGTATTGCAGACTTTGGTCGACATTGATCTCTTCAGCGACATCAAACGGATAGAGGGCGCTCTCGCACGGCACAGCTGTACAGAAGCCCTCGCATGGTGCAGCGAAAACAAGACTGCATTGCGCAAGATGAAGGTAGCGTCAATAGCTGCTCCACTTGTTGTCCTCTTAGCGAATAATTGCAGAGTACCCTGGAGTTTGACCTCCGACTTCAAGAATACATCGAGCTTTCCCGGGCTTCTAAACGCCAAGAAGCCATCGATTATTCGCGAAAACATCTCGTTTCGTGGCAGGAAACCCATCTGGATCAGATCCAGCAAGCTGCGCTTTGCTCGCTTTTCGACCCGATACGTCATACGGACGATACAAGGTACCTCTTGCTTTGTACTAACGCTGTAACGTACTGAAAAATCCTTGCAGCGTCTGTATGATCCAGCTCGATGGCCCACTCTTATCCAATCATTCCGCTTAGCTATATACTCCCTCAACACCCTTCCGACAGAGCCGCTTCTGCACCTGAGCCTTACGCTGGTCTCGCGTCCCTCAAGCTCCCTGCATGCTATTTACACTCGACGAAGAACGTCGACTGCCCGGTGTGTGATGGCGAGGCCGGATCAGACTCTCAAGGCCTCGGCAAGCTTGCGGAGGAAGTGCCTTACAGTCACCACGCAAACTCGACCATCGTATGTTATATTACCGGGAAAATTATGGATGCCGACAATATGCCTTTGGCGTTCCCCGACACTGGGTATGTTTATTCAAGAGAGGTGCGTGCATGTATTTTCTGGATCACAGTGAAATGCTCACGACCTTTGTGTGATCTAGGCAATGGAAGAAATGTCCTTGAAAAACGACGGAATGGTGATATGTCCTCGTAGCAAGACCACGTGCAAATTCTCCGCCCTCCGGAGAGTTTACATATCGTAGAATTTGGACTAAGCGGCATTTGTATCATATTGTACACGTATTCTGTAACTTGACTTCGACAACGCAAGCCCACTCAATACACCAGTTTTTATTTTCGCAAAGCAAAGGTATAGAAAACTATTGTACTCCTGAGCAGCCTCTCTCTGTTGCTTCCGCCATGCCCGAATTTCCTTTACCGCTGTAGCTATCAAGGGGATCATCGCACTGGCGAAAAGAGGCGAGTATACGGCATATTTATGCTCTGCCGGGAAGTAGAGCAACGCCAACATGCCGGGGTTGAAAAATGCGCGCGATGCAAGGGTCAGAGCGTCGGCAGATTGGTGGAGAGTTTCATTCAAAGACGTGGAGGCTGATGCATACATCTAGAAAATATGGTGTATGAGCCATCAGCTACAAAAGAGTTCAACCGATAAACCTGATCAAGGGCAGTGAGCGAGTCCTGGACATCGCCCTTTACATTCTGCCCGACGGGCATGTTTTCAATTTGGTCTACGAGCTTGACGATGCTTTTGAGGGTGTCTTGTGCACCTTCAGCATTTTCTAATGCGCGGCGGCGGAGGAGGGCGTCTAGTTGCCAGCCTGTAAGGACTGGAGCGTCCATTTGCACATCTGGTGGCAAATTTGGGACACCAAGGAGAGCAAGAAGTTGGTTGGCAAATGTCGAGAATACGGAATGGAGCGCAGATGAAGGGAGGGGAGTGTTATCCTGCAGCTCTGGGGGCGGGTTGTAAATGACGATTCCACCCCATTGTGGAAGAAGGAATGCATCGGAGGAAGACGGGAGTCCTGAAAAGAAGTTAGCAAAGC